AATTAATCTAGTATTGTACCAGCTGGGACCCACATGTCGTCGTCGCACGTACGGTCAACTCGTCGAACTAAAAAATCCAAAACCCGCTGACCTTGGACTCAGCGGATTCGGTCGGAGAGGATCTGCTGTGGTTTGATGGTTGGCTCAGGGACGGGTCTGATCAAAGGGTAGAGTCGTTGTCGGTCAATATCATCCATGTTTGCAACGAACTGTCGAAGGAGACTGACGTGGAATGAATCTTGGATACACCAGTCGTCCGGTAACAGTAACTTGGCAATGACAGGTGTCACCATTCAAGCAATCCGAAAGGGCCCACAGAATCTCGGGCGGAGTTTATGTGGTAAACTCAACCCCTGATTCTTTGTGTCTAAAAGGACTAGTTGCCTAGGAGACAAGGGTAAGAACTGTTGTCTCCTAGGACTAGTTGCAGTCTGTAAGTCTTTGACGAACTGTTGCGACCGTGGGGCAAGGCTCTCAACTAACGGTATAGTGGGAGTCGTGGGGTTGAGACTGTAATTCAGGTAGAGCGGTGATTGGGAAGTCGTGGACAAAAGGGCGTTGTTATACGCGAACTCGATCAGAGGAAGGGAATCTTCCCATTGGGTCGAGTCGGTACAGGTTGTCCTTATCAGCCACTCAGATTTGTCCGTTCAGTCTGACCGTCGGTCTGTGGGTGGTAAGCCATGGACAGATGGAGACGTGTACCATACTATTCCCACATTTTTATCCAGAAGTTGGACGTGAATCGGGGGTCACGATCGCTCACAATCGCTTTCGGGATTCCGTGCAGGCGAACGACGGTTGAGATGAACAGCTTGGCAGTTTTCTCGGATGTGATCGTCGTCTTGCTTGGCGCGAAATGAACCATTTTCGTGAGTCAATTAACGACCACGAGTACAGCATAATTTTGGGACACGCCAGCCAGCAGTCCTGTCACGAAGTCCATGGACACGTGTGTCCAGAGCTTGGTGGACGGTTCTAACGGTTGCAGTAATCCAACTAGTTTTTTGCGAGAGGATTTCATTACTTGGTAGGTGGGACATGAGGCCACATATTAGTGCATGTTGTGGCTTGCACTCGGCAAGTAATAAAGACGTTGGAGCATTTTCAAGGTTTTATCAACCCCGAAATGTCCTGAGCAATTAGCGTCATGAACCTCCTGTATCAGTAATTCCTGTAATACTCGGTAGGATGGAACCCAAATTCGGTCAGTACTAGCTTTTAGGCGGTTGTGGCCTCGTTGAGTGGTCAGGGCCTGGTGGCCATTAGAGGTGAAGAGCGGATCAGTATTGTAGCCGTGGGTAAACAATCCAGTTAGCAGCGGGCTAGCTTGGACGATTAGTAAGGCGGTTATATGGGCAGTAGGGCTGGAAAGGGCATCGGCAATATTATTTTCCCCCTTTTTGTAGATGATACGGTAGTGGAAATTGGACTCGAGATATTCGAGCCAACGAATCTGTCGTGAATTGAGGGTCGGTTCGGCTTGGAGGAACTGTAGGGACTTGTGGTCTATTCGGATAGTAACGTTGGCACTGGATAGGTAGCAGCACCAGGGCTTGAAAGCATTGACGATTGCGAGCATTTCCTTATCGTGAACCGGGTAATTCCGTTTATCGCGTTGGAGTTTTCGCGAGTCGTAGGCAATTGGCTGCAGGCCTTAGCCAAAGTCCTGTAACAATACCGCGCCAACGGCGATGTCGCTGTGTTCGTAACCAGATCGTATGGGCGGTCGGGATCGACAATACGACGAACGGGTGGTGTCATGAGGAAAGTTTTCAGTTGGTAAAACGCAACTTGCTGCCTCTCCCCCCACTCATAAAAAAACTCCCTTCTACAGCAAGTCGGTTAATGGGGCTGTTGAGTCCACCATTTTAGGGATAAAGCGGCGCCCGTGGTTGACAAACCCCAGAAACTCTACAAATCCTTGACGTTCGTAGGCGGTTCCTAGTTGCGAATAGTGTCGATTTTTTTCTGGTCAAATTTAACGCCTTCGGTGGAGATGACGTGGCCCAGGAAGTCCAGCTCCTCTTTTAAGAACTCGCATTTACAGTCATTGTGATGAGTCGGTGTTGATCGTGGAGGGAAAAAACTGCTTCCAAGTCCTTCAAATGTTGTTCCCGCGAGGTGTTGTACACCGCGATGTCATCCAGGTAGACGATGACGCACTTGTCCAGTAGCGAACGGAAGACCTCGTTCATGGTCAGTTGAAAAGTTGAGGGTGCGTTTGTCAGTCCAAATGGCATCACTGTATACTCGTAACTTCCGTAACGGTTTCGAAATGAAATCTTCGGAATATCAGCTTCTGCGACAAGAATTTGGTGGTAACCTCCTCGTAGATCAATCTTGGGAAAGAATCCTGGCCCAGCGAAGTTGGTCAATGAGATCGTCAGCTCGCGGCATCGGGTAATGAGACTTGATGGTTACGTTGTTTAGCGCTCTGTAATCTGCACACATCCGTAGTCCTCCGTCCTTCTTTGGGGTGAAGTGAATTGGTGCGGCGTATGGTAACGTGCATAGATGGATAAATTTATTCTCTAGCAGATATTCCAGTTGCGTACGCAGCTCCATCAGCTCCAGTTGACTCAACCGCTATTGCGACTGGACGGTCGGTTGCGTGTCAGGTTCCAGCTCAATTTTGTGATCGTGTGGTCGTTCGGGTGGTAGGCCGGGCGGCATGTCATCAGGATCTTCTCGTACTTGCCCATGATCTTCACCAGGTCCTCAGGTACAGCAGCACACAACTTCTCCAGGTCGGTCTGTTCAGCCACCTCTGTTGATTCGATCCATCGGACGGCATAGGCGTCAATGCCACGTGCCATTGCCCGCTTGATACTCACGTTATTCAACAGTGACGACTGAGGGTCGGGTGGTTTCCACTTCGGCAGTCGTAGCCACTCGCCACCCCACTTCAAACGAATGTCGCCATTCCTCCAATCGATAGTTGGATTGTACGTGCGAAGCCAATCGCGCCCCAGGAGCACATCGCAGCCGTCCAATGTTGTGGCCAGCATCTCCACTTGCAGTTGCAGTTCCTTCGCTCTTGTCACATCGAACATACTGTGTGATGCTCCACCGTCCACAAATATTTTTTATTTTGTGTTTCCAACGTGCCCTTCCACCAGTACAGGGCAGTCAACAGGTTCACTCCCCTTTAACCGGGTGTGGTCGATCGCATAGATCGGCACTACGTCTCGGTGGGAATGGTGATCTTCGGGCGACGAAGCCTCATCGATAAGGGGCCCGACTGCTACAGAGGCTGTCCATTTCCCGGCTTCCTTTTGTCGTTAGCTCCTGATTTCTGCAACTCCGGATAGTCCCGCATGATGTGCCCCGGCTGGCCACATTTATAACACCTGCCAGAAAATCTGTTATCTGACGGTGCCGCCACGCCGATGATGCGTGGGTAACTATTCTGCCCTCGAAAATGACTTCCCTCCTGAAAATTTGTCCTTGGCCATACACTGTTCTCGTCCCATACCTCTGCGACCTGGTGCACCTCCAGGAACGTCGTCGGGCGGCGCATGCGAATTTCGCGCTGGACCTCCAGTTTCAGCCCTATGATGTATCAACTCGTCTTCTCCATCTCGTGTAGATTGTCGATTTCGTCATAGATGGCGAGGAAAGATGGCGTGTACTCCAGCACAGAACCCAGTTGACGCCATCTGTGCAGCTTCACACGAGCATTTTCGCATGTAGATACATGCTCAAAGTGCCGGCGAAGTAGTGCACCCCACTGTTGCCAGGTAAGGATCTCGGCCACACCAAACAAGGATCCAGAAGAAGTTGAAGCCAATCGTTGCTCCCCATCCATCGCCTGTTGCCAATCTGTCGGAGTCCCTCGTGACGTCACGTACTGTCGCCACTAACTTAATGCACGCCCGCGTAATAAAGACACCGCCAGTTTGACGCGTGTCTCATCGTCGTTGACGTCGGCAGCATTGAAGAACAGTTCCATGGCGAACAACCACCCACTTGGCGTGGTGTGTTGAACGGTGGGGGCATGGACGGTTTTATCTTTACGATTGCCCGTCGCTCGCTCGAACTGTCGTCACGAGTCGTTGACGTCGCCTGCGGTTGATGCGCGCTCGCACGATCTTCGTCCACGGTAACAGGCGACTCCTGACGCATCGCACCACGCGTCTAGCGAAGGCTCATGTTCTCCTCTTTCACCGCAGCAAGCTCAAGGGCCATGACCTCCATCTTCGCCATCATTTCGCCAACCTTCATCGTCAGCACGGATGCGCTTGCTACCGCCTCTGACAACTCAGCTATTTGCTCGGGAGTCATATTTCTAGTACTACGGCAAGGAGGGCTATTGACCATGAATTACCCTAACTAGCTAATGCCACTAAAGACACTACGCGCACCTGCAGCGTTAGAGACGTGGAGCGTACACGACAAAATCGGCGGAACTGAAGAAGTTCCTGCACGACCGCTGAACAGCTCCTGCCTCCTAACGTGCGAGGTTCCCTCTAAAAACTACCTCACTACGGAAGCCTAAATGGACAGGAACGTAGCTATGATACCAGCTGTTATGATTATCTCCGGATAGGGGTCGAGTAATGCAGTAGTGAGGTCGTGATTAAAGTGTGTCGAGTACAAATGAAGCACAGGCCTAAATACAAGCACAGCTAGTCTAGCAAGAAAGCCTCGAGGAAGGCCACGAAACACGCGCGAGGTGGTTTGGGGCGCCTCGGAACTCGGAAGTGTCGAATGCGACGCCGCGTGTAGGCTTCGGGTCTCGAACGTAGTTTGAACCTGAATTGTCGGGCCAAGCCTGGACTTCCGAAAGTCGGGGCTGTACTCGATGTTAGCGAGGCTCGATAGCGAAAAGGGATTTTCCTTACATGACCAGTACAAACAAGGGCTTTTTGGCTACAATACTCCCCACTTTTTTTTTACTGCCCCTAAACTTATCTTCATGTGAGATGCATGTTTGTGTGCACTTCTGTAGTGAAAATGAAAATGCACTTCTTTCCCAGTGATGCTGGCTGCATGGATGGATACCATGCATGGGTTCAATCTCTGATACCATTTGAACAGCAAATGAGACGACATGAAAGGAAAGGAAATGCAAGTGAATTATGCCCAAGCTATACCATTCAGTTGGGAATTACGGCACAAATAAAGAAGAGTCTGCACTTCATGTGGTAACATGGTAACACGGGTGCTAGTGCTGCTCCTAATCAATCCTTGCTCCTTCAATCTGGATGTACCGTATGTGCTGCTGGTCGTTAAGATGCCTGGGGGTCGGTATGTTTACAATTCTTCCACAAACAATGCCAGATTGGCATGTTTCAGATCATACTACCCGGAAACATCCTTTAATCCTGGCAGATCACAGGAGGGGCGAGCAGGGGAGAAAGTGGGAGAGAAAGACACGGGTAAGGCAAAAAGGTACTTCGATCAGGGAAGGCAGCAAAAGGAAGAGGAATGAAGAGGAAGTTGAGGGGGACGAAAGAGGGAGAGAGAAGGAAGAGGAATGAGGGAGGGGGGTGATGGAGGGAAAAGGAGAGAGGAAAGTCACCAGCCGGGAAGAGGGAGCTTGTGTACTTTAACGGATATGTTGTTAGTGAGCCAGTGAGGGCTTTTATAGGAGGTAAATGGGGCCCAGCAGGTGTGAGGGGGAGGAGGAAGGGTGTGAAGGAAGAGGAGTGAAGGAAAAAGAATGAGGGAGAGAGAAGAAGAGGAATGAGGGAGGAGGATGAGGGAGGGGGATGAAGGAGGGGGATGAGGGAGAGAGAAAAGTCACCAGCCGGGCAGAGGGAGCTTGTGTACTTTAACGGATATGTTGTTGGCGAGCCAGTCAAGCCCCTCGTACAGGCCTTCCCCTGACGTGGCACAGGTGCTCTGAATGTACCTTGGGGGGGGGGGGGGGAGGGGGGGGTAGTGGAGAAGGGACGTAACGGAATGACACGAGAAGAGGGCATGGTCAAAGGGAACGCGTGTGGGTGGTGGTGTGGTGGACGTGGGTGTATCAAGGCCCTTATACAAGCCCTTTTGAGACGTCTCAAAACGCGTGAGGGGGTATCAAGCCCTTATACAGGCCCTTTTGAGACGTCTCAAAACGCGTGAGGGGGTATCAAGGCCCTTATACAGGCCCTTTTGAGACGTCTCAAAACGCGTGAGGGGGTATCACGGCCCTTATACAGGCCCTTCCCTGCTGTGGCACAGGTGCTCTGAACGTACCTGGTGCGGGAAATGGCGCAGGGGGGAGGGAAGGAGGGGGGGAGGAAAGATTAAGGGGGAAGAGGGTTCGCAAATTGAAGGACGGGTGGAGGGCTCTTTCCCTGCCGTGGCACAGGTGCTCTGAACGTACCTGGTGCGGGAAATGGCGCAGGGGGGAGGGAAGGAGGGGGGAGGAAAGATTAAGGGGGAAGATGGTTCGCAAATTGAAGCTCCTCTATGGATATAGGGGAGGGGGGAAGGGGAGAGGAGGGGGTGATCACAACAGTGAGGTGAGTGAGAGATGGCGAGAAAGGAACGTTTGACAGAGAGAGAGTGCTGTCAAACAAGTAGGGCGGAGGTAGCGTGTCCCCTCCGCTACCTACGTTTGACACACACACACACACACACACACACACACACACAACTAGAGGGGCCACACTCACACGCGTGCCAACAGCAGTGGCGCAGGGCGTGCAGGGCGAGCGTGTCGGTGATGTCAGCAATGAAATGAGCGAAAGAGGTGGTGAGTGAGGAACGTTAGGCAGAGTGCACGCCACACATGCGTACCAGCAGCGGTGGCGCAGGGAGTGCAGGGCGAGCTTGTCTGTGATCTCAGCAGCATTCATCGCATTGGGCAGGTCCTGCTTGTTGGCGAACACCAGGAGGGTGGCGTCTCGCAGCTCGTCCTGCAAAGTCAGGGTGAGAGAGAGCCACAGGACGCACATGCGATGTGATGTGATGTGAGCACTCCCACACACGCCCCCGTTCATCGCATTTGGAAGGTCCTGCTTGTTGGCAAACACCAGCAGAGTGGCGTCTCGCAGCTTGTCCTGGCAAGGGGGAGACACAGGAAGGCCCCAAAAGCGAATGTCAGCATTTTCACATGTCCGCAGGTGCTGCATGTTGGCAATCACCAGCAGGGCAGCTTGACCAGCATTGACCTGCATAGCGTTGACCAGCATTGACCAGCTTTGACTCACCTCATTCAGCATCCGGTGCTGCTCGTCCCTTGCCTCCATCACTCTCTCCCTGTCGTTGCTATCCACCACGTAGATAGATGGACCAGCGTTGACCCATGTTGACCAGCATTGACCAGCGTTGACTCACCTCGTTCAGCATGCGGTGCAGCTCGTCCCTCGCCTCCATCACTCTCTCCCTGTCGTTGCTGTCCACCACGTAGATGAGCCCCTGAGTGTTCTGGAAGTAGTGGCGCCACAGGGGGCGGATCTGCAGAGGATGGAAGGAGAGACGGGAAGGGGGGGCATAGGGGAAAGGACAATCAGGAATGGGAAGGGGGCCAGGCAGATCAGCCCCTCGGTGCTCTGGAAGTAGTGGCGCCACAGGGGGCGGATCTGGGGGCAAGGGCACAGCAGTTGGGAGCCATGGGAAGCTCTTAGTCAGCAGTTGGGGGCCATGGCACACTTCACCTGCTGTCCACCGCGTAGATCAGCCCCTAGGTGTTCCGGAAGTAGTGGCGCCACAGGGGGCGGATGTGGAGGGGGGGGGAGGGTGGGGGGGAGGAACATTGAAGGCGGAATGGGGAAGTGTACGGGGGGGGGGGGGAGTGGGGGAAGGGGAAGGGCACCACGCAGATGAGCCCGTGGGTATTTTTGAGGCGCCTCAAAAATCACGCAGATGAGCCCGTGGGTATTCCGGAGATAATAGAGTCACAGAGGGCGGATCTGGAAAGAAGGGGAGGAGGAGAGAGGGGGGGGGGAGGGGAGGAAGGGGGGGGGGGGAAGGGCGGGAGGAGGGGTGCCGCGGGAGAGTCAGGTGAAGTGTAGAGATCCGCCCCCTGTGTCGGAGTCATTACGATAGGCTTTGGTTCGACACATTACAGCCGAGTCAACCACAGTCAACCACAGTCAACCACAGTCAACTGCATTGAAGAACTTGTCCCCGTCAACAGCACCTGCCTGGGTGGATTACTTGGTCTTGGCCCCCCACGTCCCAGACTGTGACGCTGATGTTCAAAGCAGCACGTAAGTCAACACAAGTCAAAAGCAGTCAGCAACAGTCAAAAGCAGTCAACAACAGCTGCATTACCTTGTCCTGACCCCCCACGTCCCAGACTGTGAAGCTGATGTTCTTATACTCCACTGTCTCCACGTTGAAGCCTGCAATACAGTCACATTGAGGTGGGAGGAGGGGGGGGGGGGGTGGATGGGGGGAGGGACGGAGGGAGGAAGGAAGCACAGTGACGCTGGTGTTCTTATGCTCACAGTTTCCGCATTGAAGCTTGCGATACAGTCACAAGGGGGGGTCGGGGAGGAGGGGCAGAGAAGGGGGAGGAGGGTATGAAAAGGGGGGAGGGATGTGGAAAGGTGTTAGAGAAGTTGATGTTCTTATACTCCACTTGTCTCCACGTGGAAGCCTGCGATACAGTCACATTGGGGGGGGGGGGAAGAGAAGAGGGGCAGTAGATTGACTTGGCATTCAGCAGCCAAGGAGGCTGAGAGAAAGGGGCAGAAATGTGATACTAGCAACAGAAGGGTTGCCAAACCAATGCATATTATGCTGCAAGCAAAACAATGCAGCCGCGCATAAAAGTGTCGCACAAGCGAGCCAATTGACCTATAGTGGGGGTGGTTGTAACGAGTTCCCCCAGCTTCTGCTTGTACACAGGATTGTGGTCTTCCCTGCGGCGCCCAGGTCCAGCCACACCATCAGAATGTGCATGTCGCCCCTTGCCGTTCCACCACGGGGACAACTGAGTCGGACCCACCGAGGGGACCATTGACTGACTGACTGACTGACTGACTGACTGACGTACCGATGGTGGGGATGGTTGTAACGAGTTCCCCCAGCTTCAGCTTGTACAGGACCCGTGTGTAATGAGTCGACTTTTGAGTTGACTTTTGAGTCGACTCAAAAATCGACTCATTACATTCAGCTTGTACAGGATGGTGGTCTTCCCCGCCGCATCCAGCCCCACCATGAGAATGCGCTACTCTCTCTTGCCGATCCACCGAGCAAACAGCTTCGTGAAGGTCAACCCCATGCCTGATGCTTGCTGCCTGCCTGACTGACCCACTGACGGACTGAGAGACTGACCCACTGACGGACTGGCTAACTGACTGACTGACGGACTGGCTAACTGACTGACTGACGGACTGGCTAACTGACTGACTGACGGACTGGCTAACTGACTGACTGACGGACTGGTTAACTGACTGACGTACCAATAGTGGGAATGGTGGTGACGAGTTCTCCTAGCTTCAGCTTGTAGAGAATAGTAGTTTTTCCGGCAGCGTCCAGCCCCACCATAAGAATGCGCATGTCTCTCTTGCCGATCCACCGCGCAAACAGCTTAGTGAAGGTCAGCCCCATGGTGACTGCCGGTTGGTGATGGCCTTTCCGATGCTTGGAGCCTGCCTGGCGGCTGGTCACTGGCGGTTGGTTAGTGATGCCGATTCTGCTTGTAACAAGCTGGTGCTTTTAACGGTTCGTCAAAGTTCCAGAGGTGGCACTAGGAGGAATCCGTGAAAGGAGAGACGCAGTAGATTGGGCAGGTAGGTTGTGCCAGGATGATGATACGGACTCTAGAAGCTGTGGTATAAGTAGTAGTAGTGGTACTAGTGAATGAATGGAGCAGTAGTGATGACATTGGCATTGGAATAGCGGCAACAGGCGGAAGGAAACTGAGGGGAAGGGAAACTGGCGGAAGGTCTACTGGCGGAAATTGGGGATTTTCCACGAGGGAAATTCCGGGGTATTTCCCATCAGGGCCTGCTTCAGTCCCCCCCGCCGCGGGGGTGATGAAGGGGGGAAGGGGGGAGAGGGGGCGGGAGGGGGAGGAAAGCAGTGCGGGGCCGTGACGAGACAGCGCCTATCAGCTTTCAGCACGTGCCCCGGAACGGGCTTCCCGGAACATTCCGTGCGCGCAACAGCTCTCAGTGCGTACTGTATAGGCAGGTTGAGGGTGAGGGCCTCGATACAGTTCTCGCGCGATGCCTTGAAATGAGCAGGAGAGATCCGTATCTACCGTGACGGACCGCGTATTATCGTCATTGCCGGCCGTTGATTGGCTGCGTGACGTATTCGAGGCTCTGGCCCAGTGGGCCAGTCCAGTTGCTTTTCTGTCTCCGAGTCTGCTGGCAATGCGCCATGTGGCCACGTGGGGACGTGACCGCGTATGGTCGGCTCTCGTTTGGAGCCCTAATTTTGCCGCACGTGACGGCGCAGGCGGATACCGCATCGCCGCCCAGCCTGGTGCGCCTCACGGCTGGAGCACGTCTTTTAGGGGTGCCTGAGGCAGCTTAGGGTTTCGGAGTGAAGAGAGGTGCCAACATCGGCGGAAAATGCTTCTGCTGGCATCATTAGCGCAATCAGGGCACTGTGCAAAACCAAGAATTGCCTCCAAGCCTGCAGAGCTGAAGGCTTGGCGAAGCAATGTGCAACCCGTCCGATTCGTTACATGTCGTCGTGCGACAGGTTTGACAATTCGGCTGGTTACCGAGAAGATACATTGGGGGTCATGTAAGCGAGGGTTTCGCTGGGCATTCTCCAGCAGAAAATGGAAGAGGTAATGCCATGCGAAACAAATTCGCGACAGCTCGACGTCTCGCTAATGATCCTTGGTGACCCGTTTGACTTCAGTGGACGTGCAGACAAAAGGCCGACCTAAAACATTTTCGGCCACAATTTCGTCTATAGTCTGGCGAGTATTGAGCAAAACGCTGATCTATATATGTCGAGTAAAGTGGCTGATTATTGATTACAAATAAACAAATCATTTGCCCCGCTACCCTTCCTCCCTGAGAATAAACTTCACACCCACGTCATTCAGCCAATCGGAAAAACAGGGCATACAACAGTTCCCCCTCCCACGTGGGAACCTTTATTGTCCGTTTCTCACCAATCGCTTTCCTCGGCTGAAGCTTCCATCTGCCTTCTGCATCGAGTCGCATCTTAATGCGCGCATCGAACCAATCCGATTTGCACATTTCGCATTTCTGAAGGCCCCAGGCATTGTCCGCTTTTCCCCGTGTTGCGTGCTTTCCACACCACGTGACTCAAGTGGTGCGGGGCGGACCTTCCACTCCGCCAAGCTGGCGCACGCCCATCAGCGGCACTCTGGTTCCCCGCGGGTTGTTCCTGCCATGGAACTTCCGCAACGGGGTTCATTCTGCCCCTGTCCGCAGGTAGCTTGCTGCGTTCAGATAACTTTTCGGTAGAAAATAAACTCTGGTGATCAAACTTACTCTCAGAAGCCAACTTGGATGAACCAAGCTTACTTTCTCGGCTTACTTCACCTGATAACTCCAAGAAACTTTATCCGACCTGCATATTGTTGAGCTTTCTTCCTGCACTGCTGTACAGACCTGTGGAGCACTGTTCAACACTGTTACTACTACATCTCTCCACTGTTACTTTTATACCTGTTTTGGGTAACTCTATCATCATGGGTAACTTCCTTGTGCGAGCCTTCGCAGCGTTCGTCGGCAAGCGCGACATGCGCATTCTGATGGTGGGGCTCGATGCCGCTGGAAAAACCACAATCCTCTACAAGCTGAAGCTGGGGGAAAACGTCACCACCATTCCAACAATTGGTGAGTAGTCCTGGATAGCCTCTGCACTAGCCTTGAGACATGCGCATTCTGATGGTGGGGCTCGATGCCACTGGAAAAAACACCATCCTGTACAAGCTGAATCTGGGGGAAAACGTCACAACTATTCCAACAACTGGTTAATTCCGCTGCTGTGCGTGGCTGACTCATTCCTGCAGGCTGATAGCACCAACTGACGAACCGTTTTTCTGATTTTATTGCAGGCTTCAATGTGGAGACGGTGGAGTACAATAACATTAGCTTCACAGTCTGGGACGTTGGGGGTCAAGACAGGGTGAGTTCTGCACCACTGTATTCCCCCTCCACCAAGGGTGTGTGAGAAAGTTTCTCTTTGTCTCAGATATGCTGCAGTTCTAACAGGAGTCTTCGTTCGTATCCACTGCAAGAGTCCACACTAAGATAGTAATTAGCGGTAGTTTTGAGACATCTCGAAACTAGAGTTCCATCACATCACACGGAATATCCACTGCAGGAGTGCACACCAAAGTCTCAGCTGCACCAGTAGTTTTGCTCCTTGGCGCACTGCTGCACATAGTCAATCCTTCCTTTCCCAGCCCTGCAGAATCGCCTGCTGAGGAAGTCAACGCGCAAGAAAACCTTCTTTCCATCTTCCCATTCCTCCAGATTCGCCCGCTGTGGAAGCACTATTTTCAGCACACCAACGGGCTGATCTTTGTGGTGGACAGCAACGACCGGGACCGGGTGGCAGAAGCACGGGACGAGCTGCATGCCATGCTCAATGAGGTGAGCCAACACAAGTCAATGGGGGTCAAAGCAGGTCCACACAGGTCAATGCTGATCTTTGTGGTGGACAGCAACGACAGGGACTGGGTGACAGAAGCCAGGGACGAGCTCCATGCCATGCTCAACGAGGTGAGTCAACACGAGTCAACAGAGGTCAACTCAAGTCAACACCTGTCAACGTTGATGTTGGTGGTGGAGGGAGGGAGGGGGGGGTGGGGCAGAGGGGGGAACAAAATGCATATGAGCATGGCTCGGGCAATAACAGGGATAAAGACTTGTTTGCCAACAAGCAGGACCTCCCCAAGGCGACGAGTGTAGGACATAAGGCACGAGCCACAGTAAATAGGTGCCACGTGCTACCCCCTGCTACTCCCCGTCTCCCTTCCTGTAACCTCCCCATGCCAGGACGCTCTAAGGGATGCAGCATGGCTGGTCTTTGCCAACAAGCAGAACTGCCTGCCCAAGGCAAATGAGCGCAGGGACACCCCAAGGCACAGGGGACACCGTGGACAGATGAGAGATGCACCTTCCTTCCCCCCGTTGGCTCTCTTCCTGTGTCCCCCCTGCCATCCCCCGTGCCTCTTCCTCCTATACCCTCCCCGTGCCAGGACGCACTGAGGGACACAGCACTGCTGGTGTTTGCCAAGAAGCAGGACCTTCCTAAGGCGATGAGCGCAGGACACACGGCACAGGACACGATAAACAGATGGCACATGCTACTCCATGCTACCCGGTGCCTGTTCCTGTCACCTCCCCATGCCAGGACGCGCTCAGGGATGCAGCACTGCTAGTGTTTGCCAACAAGCAGGACCTTCCCAAGGCGATGAGCGCTGCTGAGATCACCGACAGCCTCGCCCTGCACACTCTCAGGCAGAGGACCTGGTAAGCTGACACCACACAAATCACCTTGCACCATGCATCCCCTTCTACCATGCATCCCCTTCTACCATGCATCCCCTTCTACCATGCACCCCCTTCTACCATGCATCCCCTTCTACCATGCATCCCCTTACACCATGCATCCCCTTACACCCCCCCACATCCACACCACCCACACACGTGGACCTGGTGAGCTGACAACACACATGAACCTGCGTCCCCCTACACCCGCTCAAAGCCACCACCAACCCCACTTGTAGACACACATTCACGCACACATGTACACGCGCGCACACGCACGCACGCACATGTACACGCGCGCACATGCACACGCACACATGTACATGCGCGCACACACGCACGCACACATCAAGGGAATAACATCACTATAGCACCTGTACATTCGAAATACACCCTTACACCTCCTCTCTCTCCCTCTCCCCCCCCCCGGGTACATTCAGAGCACCTGTACATTCTAAATACACCCTTACACCTCCTCTCTCTCCCCCCCCCCCCCCCCCCGCCCAGGTACATTCAGAGCACCTGTGCCACGTCAGGGGAAGGCCTGTACGAGGGCCTTGACTGGCTCGCCAAGAACATTACACTGAAGGTGCGTGATATATATATATATATATATATATATATATATGTATATATATGTATATATATATATGTATATATATACAAATATATATACAAATGAACTCCAAAGGCATATCATCAAATGACAAAGCAGGCGACATTCTCTCCCTCCCTTCGCCTACTGTACCTCCAGACCCCTTAATCCTCTTTCACCTCTTCTTCCCTGCAACACACAGGACTAGCCACCCAAACAGACAGATTTCATCATGGGACTCCCCTGCATCTACAGACTCCCTCCAAGCTGGCTCCCAGTGTGGTTTGAGTCGACTCAAAACACTCCATCTACGACTCCAGCCACCCAAACAGACAGATTCCAGGGGACCTCCCCTGCATCAACAGACTCCCTCCGGATTCCCTAGCCGTACGTTGCTCGTCTCTCCCTCAATTTCACCTCTCTTGCACCTCCCTCACCCCTCCAACCCCCACCCTGCAACACACAGGACTAGCTACACGGAAAGACAACTTTCATGGGACTTCCCAGCATCTGCAGAATCTCTCGTGATTCCCTAGCTGCGCACCTGTGGAAGCTGCTCATTCCCTGCTGCTTGTTTTCTTTCTTCTGTTTCAGTTCAACAGCCCTTTGTGCTACTGTAGCTTCTTATGGACATTTCATTATAATGTCTTTACATGTACAAAGAAAATGTAATGAAAAGAAAAAACCAGGCAGGATGAACACCATACTTCAAACCATAAAAAAGGGACAGGAAAATGGAAAATCACAAACGCAGTAGAAAGAGAGGTGCAGAAATGACTGACCTAGCAACAAGCCTCAAAAGGTGCGCTGGGTGCGTTCTCTTCTCTGCGCCTGCGTCTGCGCCTGCGCCTGCACGTGCGTCTGAGCTCCTATATCTGCAGCACTTGGCGCATCCCTGGGGGTGTTCTTAGCAGCCTCCTTATTCACCTCCGCCCCGCTCCCCCCTCCCATTCGCTTTCCTCCCCATCTCCCCGCCCCTGCCCACATCCCACACGTCTCCCCCGGCGCCTGCCTTCCCCCACGCCCCTATTTCCGCCATGCTTGGCGCAACCTTGGGCGACAGCAGCGGCGCCATAAGAACCCCTCCCCCGACTCCCCTCCTCTGCTCTCCCGACTCCCCTCCTCTGCTCTCCCGACTCCCCTCCTCTGCTCTCCCGACTCCCCTCCTCTGCTCTCCCGACTCCCCTCCTTTCTCTTCCCCAGGAGACACGGGGTCTACATCCCGCACGTCTCCAGAGCATTTTTTCGAATTCTCAAGAATACCCTGCAATTTCAAGGTGTCTACATCCTGCACGTCTCCAGAGCATTTTGTCGAAAATACCACGGTGTGTACGTCAAAATTCTCAAAAATACCCTGCAAATTCAAGGTGTCTACGTCCCCCACGTCTCCCCATGCGCCTGCCTTCCCCACGCACGCCCCTGTCTCCGCCACGCCTGGCGCAGCCGTGGCTGTGTCTACAGCCCCCCACCCCCCTTTCCCCTTCCCCTTTTCCCCAAGCCCTACACTCCGCACATCTCCCCCTGCGCCTGCCTTCCCCACGCCCCTATTTCCGCAACCTTGGGCGACTGCAGCAGCGCCACAAGAACCCATCTCCCTCGCCCCCCTCCTCTGCTTCCCCATTCCCCTCCTCCCCCTTCCCCCCAACCCTACAACGTCTCCCCGTGCGCCTGCGCTCCCCACGCCCCTATTTCCGCCGCCTTGGTGCAACCTTGGCCGACAACAGTGGCACCACAAGAACCCCTCTCCCGCGCCCCCTCCTCCGCTCCCCCATTCCCCTCATCCCCCTTCCCCCGAGACTACATTCCACACGTCTCCCCGTGTGCCTGCCTTCCCCACGCCCCTATCTCCGCCACGCTTGGCGCAACCTTGGGGGACTGTAGCGGCGCCATAAGAACCCCCACACCCTCCTCCCCCTCCCCCTCCTCCGCCCACCCTCTCCCCCGTCCCCTTCCCCCTCCGCTTCCCCGTCCGCTTCCCCTTCCGCTCCCCCCTGCCCCGCCTGTCCCAGTCCACCCCGCACCCGCGTCCGCAACCCCCAATCCGCCCTCTTCCGGGTAACCCTCCCCCAGGTAACCCCACCCCGACTGTCCCTGTCTCGGGAAGATCTGGCAGTAGGGGCCACAGAGCGGCCCGCCTACGAGCTGCTCGATTAGGGTTAGGTCGGGGGGTGTGGGACAGTGAATCTTGGCGAGAATGGAGGGAGGCGTGCCAGTGATGGTAGCTGTGGTGGTGGCGGTAGGTTTGGAGAGAGTTGCTGTAACGGGACTGCCTGATAACGGCGATAAATCCGCATCCATGACTGTCGCAAATGGAGATTTGGTTGATGATACTCTATGTCGAGACAGACGGCGAAAGATATTATATTGGAGTTGACGAGCTACGGTGTAAAACGGACGCGTATTTCGCAATGGAGTCGTCAAAGGCGGTAAGGACTGGAGACTGGAGTGTGCACTACAGGAATCTAATGGCGTATTTCGCGCTTTTTTAGAAGGATGTGCTCGCAATTATCTAGGCGTATTCTTTGTACAAGAAACTCTCTTTTAGCACAAGATGAGGTGAGGAGGAACCAGTCATGGAAAAGAACAGATTCCGTACGGGTGCGACGTCCCTAGCTCGCTGGTAACTCATGCGAAGCCAGAAGTTCTCGTTCGTCATCTGTCGCAAGGGTGTCCCGCTTCGAGTCCAGCGCGGGAATGTCGAGATCGGCTGATTGGCTCGCACCTTGGTGACAACAGGAATGCTAGTCAGTCCACGTCAGCTTTCACGAGGCATGGATTCACTTTGCAGACTGCCGAATTCCCTACGAGGTCATCCTGGATAGCCACAAGCAGCTTGGTAATGTTTCAAATAGAGCCTAATATTGCAATAGCACATTACACAAGGTAAGAACAATTAAACTATATATGTTAGTTAGCATCCGCTTACAAACCTTATTGCTTCTAAAAAACTCGCCTACAATGATGCCTTGTCTCTGCCAAACCTCGCCTTCCCACCTGACTCTGACCTTGCCCTTCTTCTCCTTGGCATCTTCTCCCCTTCAGCTTGCTTAGTAGCACCTCCCCCATAAAATCTCAGGTACCAGCTCACAAATCTCTGCAGGCCCTCCTTGAGCCCCACTGTAGGGTGATACCCTAGCTCATGCTCAGCTCTTGACACATTTGCATGTGTGAAAGGCACATCCCCGTTATGAGGCAGCTGCACTAACCGCTTCAGAGCATTCTCCTGCAGATGCAACTGTAGATAGTCGACTAGATGAGGGACGGAGACAGGTTGGGTGTTCCCGAGGTTCAGCACCCGAAGCTGTGCCGGACCTGTCTTCTTGCCTTGGACGCCAGTGCTGGGTGTAGCTGTTTCTAGGGCGCTGACACAACCCTTGATAATGTCATCAATATAGGTGAAGTCTCTCGATACGAGGGTCTGCCACGAAGGGGAGGAGGCAAGAGACGGAAAGTGTGTGTGTGGGGGGGGGGAGGGGGGGGGTGGCGGGGAGGGGAAGGGGGAGGGGGATGAGTTGAGAATATGACAATGACGAGATGTACGAGAGCAAGAAACCGGAATGCTGGGTGCTGAGGTAGAGAAAAAAGAGGGAGGGGGTTGCAGAGAGGGGAGTGGGACTAGGGGTAGTGAGACACGGGGGTGGGGGGGTTGGATGGCGGGTGGGGGGGGGATGGATGGCGGGTGGGGGGGGGAAGGATGGCGGGTGGGGGGGGGAAGGAAGGAGGGAGAGGTGGGGTTGGAGCAAGAGCTTGGGCACGAGAAAGAGCGCGGATAGGATGAGGTGCAGGCAGAGAGAGCCATGGGGGGAGAGGGGGGGGAGGAGGAGAGGGGAGAAGGGGGGTTCAATCAAGAGCTTGGGCACGAGAAAGAGCGCGGATAGGGTGAGGTACAGGCAGAGGGTCATGGGGGAGCATTAGGCACGAATTTCAAGAGATAAGGGGAGGGGGGGGGGGGGGGGGGGGGAAGCAGAGAGAGCGAAAGAGAGAGTGAGAGAGGTGGGGTTGAGGGGGGGGGGGAGGAGGAGGGAGGGAGGGAGGGATGTTGGGGAGCCGGCCAAGTGGCGGATGGGGAAAGGCGAAGGAAATTGATAGAATAGGGGCGAGTAGGGACGAGTGGGGGAGGGTGAGGGAAGGCGAAGAGCGAAGAGCGAGTTGGCACGAGAAATCATTGGCTCACATGGCTCTGATGTACGACTCACCCCATTGGCTCCCATGTACACATCAATCGCCCTTCCCTCCAATATATTCTTCGTAAAAAAGAAGTACGCCATATCGGGTCTTCCCCACGGCCCGTATACAGTGAAGAATCTCAACGCGGTCAGCGACAATCCGTGGATGTGATTATACGAGTGCGCGATCGATTCGCCAGCCAGCTTCGTCGCAGCGTACAGGCTCGCCGGTCGCTCGGTCCTGTGCGACTCCGAAAACGGGACCTCGCGATTCACCCCGTACACGCTGCTCGACGACGCCCAGACGATCGCAGGCTGTCGCACAGGCACCCTGCGACATCTCTCCAGAAGATTCACGAACCCTGCGACGTTGCTGTCCACGTAGGACGACGGATTCTCCAACGCGTACCGCACCCCCGCCTGGGCCGCCATATGCGCCACGTGGGTGAATGTGACTGTACCGAACAGCGCGTCGAGAAGCGTCCCGTTGTTTAAGTCACCTCGGATAATCTCAATTCCCGAAGACCAGAGCCGCGCCGCGCGCGCTTCTTTAAGCGCGGTGTCATAGTAGTCGTTAAAATTGTCCAGTCCCACCACCCCGTGACCCTCCGCTTTAAGAGCTAGCGCGAGGTGCGACCCGATGAACCCTGCAGCCCCCGTTACAAGAACCACCATTGACCCGTTCCTCTTCTGCGCGCTGCCGTTGTCTTTTGCCGATTCCACCAATCGTCGGACCCAGTCAGCTTCGTGATTCCCGCCGCGACTTCCGGCACCATTCCCACCCCCCCCGCCGGTGTCGCGCCTGCGACTGCTCGGTCCGATGAGGTCCGCATAGCGAGATAGCAGGGATGCTTTTGGCGAGTATAAAACTACCGCGTCCGTCCCTGTTTTTCGGGTTACTCTAGATTCGCTGGAGATTTGGGTGGGAGGAGTAGGACTGTACGTGGAGGGTTCAAGTAGGTCATTGGAACGTGTGGACTGTATCGAATCTCTCGTTAGCGCGTACGAAGTGTACGATCCTGCGAGGCTGGATACAATCGCAGTGAGCGCGCAGGCTAGGACGAGGAGCGACCAGGACGGTCCCCTGTCGTGCTTGTACTTGCTGTGACTATTGTGAAGGAAGGGAGCATCTAGCACTGGCACTGGAATCGACGACAGAGATTGACTCTTGCTCATCGACGCTCCTGACTGCTTCATTCTGGAAGGAGGAAAAAAGGGCCGTGAATTGAAAAATTACTCGTGGCACGAAACGGAAAGTTGCAAAGAACGAAACGTGGTGGATAGTGAGACCTCGTGCGAGCTTTACCCGCAGAACGGCTTGCTCTTACTCGACGTAAGCACTCCTATTCGAGCTTTTGCTTGAAGTGTAAGGCTCAACGGCAGCCGCTTTGTGGTTCTGATCTCGTAGCTAGACACTTCAACTAATTACGCGTAACAAAGCGAGCCGCCTTTATCCCCTGGGTATTCTCAGCTTCTTGCGAATAAAAGCCTCGACGAATGGACCTAGGCGTGAGGCACTTCAAACGGTGTTGTGCACTGATGCCTTTCTCCGTAGGGCTCCACTGACTAGCGTGCCGTGGTCGTTACTACTATTGACTGTTGGGATTGGCTTCCGAGCAATAGAGGGGTCCGAAGCGTGCAGTCTAATTGCGGCTCGAGAGTCGCGGCGGAGGCAAAACGCTAGCGCTTTGTCGGATATTTCCGGTCTCTTTTGTGCTCGTTGTGGTTCCGCAAGTGTGTTGTCGTTCTTCTGCGTCAGTGATTTTGACAAGGGGAGCTAATCAGAGGGCGTGTCCCAGACGTTCGTTCATTGCGGTTCAGACTGGTGTTATGTGTTCCTAAACGGTTCAAAACGTTTACGTGGGGTTAAAGCGAGCACTTCCCGAAGATGAACGTGAATTTGTGTTTGCCAAAGCTTGCGCAATTTCTTGGTCCAGATTTCAGTTTTGCGGAACCTCTCCGCTGGCGCTTCCTGCAGTCCGCGCAATCTGTGGAGGCCGGGAGTGGAGCGGACCCGTAGAAGTGCTATATTTGCTACCATGGCAGATTCGGCTGGCGCGTCGTCTGTCACGGTACCAGCTGGTTTGATGAGGTTTGGTTGGTAAGTAGTGGACGGGGGACGGGGGAGGGGAGAGGGGACTGGTGCAAAAACGCGCTGGCGCTTTTGCTTCCGCTCCAGCACATTCCGCTCTGCATGTTTCGAAGCGCGACGCAGCAAAGTCAAGTCGCGGTATACGCTGTACGAACGACTCCTCAAGTTAGCCCTGCCTGTCGTCGTTCCCTTCGCACATGGGACGGTCTGACTACCACGCGGGACCCTGGCGCTGCGCGACGAGGCAGGCGGGACTGTCGGTCAGAGCAAGCCGTTCTGCGAGTCTGCGACCTTGCAAATGTCGGAGGATGGTTCGCAGAGCTTTCTACGTCGTCGACTGCGGCGGCGGAGTGCGCAGTTCGTGAATTGCCTCCGTCAGACATGTGTTCTTTGGCCAACACGATCTGGTGGTCGTCAGAAACCAGACGAGCCCTGACGATAATTGTTGCGAAAGTGTTACACAAAGTTTGATACAAACTACCACTCGTTACCCAATTATAATGAATAGATATTCTCAGGAATAGATATTAATGAGACTCATCTCACCAAAATTGCATCTAGAATATATAAGAGGTTTAAGACAAGGAAAACGTGGCAGCATCAGAATGGGATGTCATCATCGTCGCCTTTCTTATCCTCCTCAAAAACGTCATAAGGGTTGCCTGTCCTTTGCACCCCTCCATGAAATCCAGTAGCTCTGAAGTTCTTCAACGTCAGCGGAAGCGACTCACTTGCTGGAACCACAATCTCAATCTCAAACGTTCCTTCTCCCTGCACAGCAAAAACGTGAAATTTGGCTTATAATGAGACACTCGGAGGAAAATAATGGAGTTAAGACAAGGCAATGGTGCACGCTGTCTAGTGCAACAGGCATATGCAGTCCACCACAGGCGCTCTGCATTCAATTCACTCTCTTGCTCTCTGAAACACACTCAAGTTGCATTTTACAACTCACCACGGGTATCTCTTTAATGCTTGCAAGCCTCCCCCTGTTTGGAAGCGCCGGTTCGTCATAAGCATCCAGGACAAACCCGAATACATCCGCGTTATAGACAGTACGCCCTGACTTGTTCACTGTAGTGCCGATGATCTTAAAGCACTTCGCCTTGTAAAGGGATGACCCAGGACCAACAGTGTAGGGCTGGGCACACGGACGGTAAGTTAAATCTTTCAGACCGACTGTAACCACCTTGAATAAGCACAATGAAGGGGTGGGTTGGGAAGGGGGGAGGGAGGCAGAACGGGGGAGAGGGAAGGAAAAAGGGAGGGGGAAAGAGGAGGGGGTCAGGGTGAGATTGGGGGGAGGAAGGTGGGGGAAAGAAGAGGGTGTGGGGGTGGGATTGGGGGGAGGAAAGGGGGGGGAGAGAGGAGGGGGTTCTAAGGAGGATGACAAAACAAAGAGAAGGACGAGGTGGGACTAGGTGTGAAGATAATGGGGATTTAGACGTATGGAGACAATTTGACACGGAGGCAGGCGAATGACCTGGAGCATTGAGCTATGCCCGTTGTGTCTACAATGATGTAGCCTAATTCTCACCAGATTCTGCATCATTTTTGCAAAGTCTTCCCACCAGTGCTAGACAATTTGGTACCATTTTCTTTAAACCGGGAACTCAACTCACAGCGAGAGCGTCAGACGGTCTTAGGACCCAAGGCATCCCTGCTGCTGCATGCAGGGGCTCCCAGGGCTCATATGAGGCAGATTATGCATGACATGGTTATAATGGCAACTCACTGCGAGAGCTTCAGGCATATGAGGCAGATTATGCATGATATGGTAATAATGGCAACTCACTGCGAGAGCTTCGCGCGGTAGGACCCAAGGCATTGCTGCTGCGACAGTCGCGGCAGCGGCTGTTGTCGCAGCTCCGAGAAGGACCGCTCGCCGGGACTGGTTACCAGCTATCAATTCCAGCGCGAAATCATTATTCGTGGAAACGGCCTCCGACAACGCGCTAATGTCCACGTGGTCCGCATGGGATCGCGCGCGCAACGACTTAGCGCTTGGCGCGGCGTGCAATTTAACGGAAGATACTGATGACGTAGGCTGGAAGCGACGACCGTCAGAAATCCCCCCGAGCCATGCGACGCTCGAAAGCGGCCGCGTGGCGGAAGTCAAGCTACAAGCGGCAGCCATTACAGCGGGAACAAAGGGACTGGCCTGGTTCCTCGATTGATGGATGCTGGCGCAGCAAGTTTTGACAATATCATAGGATAGACCTGTGTTGGGTGGTTGGTGTTTCACTTAGCGCATGATCCAATCCTTAGACAAAATAGGCCCTTCAAAGCTCGGGGTCACTTTCAGGTTCGACGCGGAGAAATCCGTGTTACGACTTACCAGTACATGTAGAGGGGCAATCACCAACCTGGTTCTTAGAAACGGATGAGCTAATGACGCAACTGAATCGTGCTGAGACTCGGAATACCCCCTGATAGGGAAGACAAGTTTCTGATTTCATACGAATAAGGGTGTTTATCTGAACAAAAATCATCCTGCTACCAGCAATCGCACCCACGCCACACTACTGGATCTGGATCTATCCGTAAAAATATAACTGGAACCATCTCTCTAAATTGAACCAGAAATTACCTGTTGCTGTATCCCAAACTGAGGATAAACTGTTTATTGAATACAGTGATTTACCCTTGAGAACTTTGCCCAGGGCACCAGGACCCACACGAAACGAAGCACAGCAGACATCTCTCCTCCGCGCCGCACCCTGGCAAACATTTATTTGCCGAGCCGCCATATTGCCCTCATCTTTTCTCATCTCGCCATCGTGACAATTTCATCCGTCCCATCCAATCACACCCCTCATTCCTCCTCCTTCCAACCCGCCATGTTTTTGCCGCCTCATCGCATCTCACCTCATCCCATTCCCCGTGTGCCTGTGCCTGTGCCTATGCCTGTGCCTGCCCCTGTGCCTGTCCCATCCATCCATCCTGCTTTCCCCGATCCCATCTACAGCGGGGCACACTCCTCCCACATGTTCCTTCCCAGGCCCAGCTGTCCTCCCCTTGATGTCCTCCACACCATCCAGTCTCGTCGTAATGTTGCATGCTTGCATCGATTCGTGTTGCAGCGAGTACAAGCCCCATCGTGCCATAGCCTCGTCGCCCTCATGTACCATGCCAAAGATCTCCCCTCGGAACGCTCCGCCTTCCACGGCCACCACCGAGTCGCGCACTGCAAGTAGCAGCCCCTTTTGCGCGTGCCCTGTTACTGTGTAAAACTTATACCCGGTGCACCACCTGCCGTGCCTTGAGTCCCGATCCCTACTGAGGCTATTCCTCGCCCTTACATATCGCGTAGAACATATACCCGGTGTTACTAACAGGTGTGGTGCCCCTGCTACACAGTAGTCCTACAGTAGTACTGTGTAGAACATACGCCCGGTGCATTACCTGCCGTGCCTTGAGTCTCGATCCCTACTGAGGTTATTCCTCGCCCTAACATATCGCGTATCAGAGAAGGCGTGACATGGGCAAAGGGAGGAGCCAGAGCTACGTCGTAGTTTGAAGCGCCTTTTTCTCGAGATAGTGCTAGACCAGTAAGGATGGTACGACATGTACTCTTGCGTACCCTTGAGTGCTCGTAGTAAGATTCTTTTCTCTATTTCGGTTCGAAAGCCTCTTGAGTGCATTAGATGTCATGTGGATCAATTAGCGCCTTCAGGCTTTGCCTTTAGTTCAGAACCTTCAGTTTAGCGCCTTCAGTCTGAAGGCATAGCTGAGGTCTAGGCCCAGGCCGTTGTTGCATACGCGGCCGTTCGTTCGCCTTCGACCCTTACCGCATATCCGCCAGTAGTAGGCTTCTTTTTCTTTCGTTTTTTCTTTCTTTCATTTCGCGGGCCGATCAAAATGCAGACAACTTGCCTCCAACGCGCGTCACTAGTGTTCACGCTCGCACTAGCTACAGTATTTCTATTCGGCTGCTGTTCCGCCCGTGCCGTCGTCGGACAAAACGCCTCTGCTCGCATACACAACGTCTTCGCCGCATTTCCCGCCTCATTTTCCGCCGGTTGGGGCGTAGATTCCAGCGGCCGCCCCTCCAGCCGTGCTCTAGCGGGCGGCAGCGCATCGGCGGAAGGCGTTGGCGGAGCAGCAGCACTGTGGCAGGCGGAGGCGGCGGGAAGCGCGGTACCGAGATCCGCGCAAGTGGCGGGGAGCGCTGAGACTCAAGAAGGCGGAGCGGTAAAGTATGCGGGGCGGCGCGTTTCTTCCCTTGCGGGCGTCGCAGTAGCGGGGAGTCAAATGAAGGGGCGGGGCCCGGCGGATGGGCTGAGCCCGCGGGGTAGCGGCGGAACGAGTGGCGGAACGACGCGGGCAGCGAGAAATGCGCAACGGCGGAGGCGGGGTACGGGGAAGCACAAAACGCGCGCGGGAGCGAAGAAAACGGGCAGGAAAACGGGCAGCAAGGCGGGAAAAAAGAATCAAGCGCAAGATTCGCTTTTTCCTTGGGTCGGAAAGCCGCAAATGGTGGTTTTGGATTCGACGAAGAAGGGGCGATGCTTGGACGGCAGGTGACATTCCTCCCCCTCCCTCCTCCCCTCTCCCCTCCCTCCTCCCTCCTCCCTCCTCCCTCCTCCCTCCTCCCTCCTCCCTCCTCCCTCCTCCCTCCTCCCTCCTCCCTCCTCCCTCCTCCCTCCTCCCTCCTCCCTCCTCCCTCCTCCCTCCTCCCTCCTCTCTCCTCCCTCCTCCCTCCTCCCTCCTCCCTCCTCCCTCCTTCCTCCTCCCTCCTCCCCCTCCCTTCTCCCCCTTCTCTCCTCACGTGAAGGCACCTCACTTTACTCCCCCCCCCCCTCACTCCCCTTTCCTCTCGCTCCTCTCATCTTCCCAAGTTCCTCTACCTGTGTCCCTGCCCTTGCGGGTCCCACATACCCTCTCTTTACCCCCCCCCCCCCCCGTCACTCCCCCCCCCCTCACTCCCCTTTCCTCTCGCTCCTCTCCTCTTCCCAAGTTCCTCTACCTATGTCCCTGCCCTTGCGGGTCCCACATACCCTCTCTTTCGTGCCATACGCTCTTCGGTTTTGTCCATGCCTATTATATGCCCGCGCGTCTTTTTTTTTAGTCTATTTTCAAAAATAGACTCCTCTTCGGTTTTGTCCATGCGTATTATAAGCCCGCGCGTCTTGCGCCCCCTGTGTCCGCTCGTCTGTTCGCCGCTATCCGCGTTATTGCAGCTCGCCCGCTTTTGTCATCAGAAGGGGCTATGGTACAGGACTGAACAAGTGGATATTTTATCTCGAGGTGAGTGAATGGTTTGAGGATTGTTTCCCCCTCTAACGTAATCTATACAGGCCTCATTCTAACAAACAAACTCTCCTCCTTTACAATATGCTCCATACTGTCACATTTCACTATGGCCTTTCGAATCATATCATCCACACTCGCTTATGTCACAATGCACTGCCCTACTGGTCGCAAGTCACTGTGTGTACTCTCTTTCGTTCCATGCTCGTATGTGCCGCTCTCGTTTGCGTGACGCTCGTTCGTGTTACGCTCGTTTATATCACACTCATTTGTATCACACTCGTTTGTCACAGGGCGGAGGCTGGTGCTTCAGTGTGAAGCAATGCCTCGTTCGGTCCAGGACTCTGCTTGGGTCTTCCCGTTTCTACAACCAGACGGTAAGAGCACTCACTCACTGTGTAATGAGTCTGTTTTTGAGTCGACTCAAAAACAATCGAACGGTAAGATCACTCACCCACTCAGCGTAAAGCAATGCCGCAATGCCTCTCATTGTCTCTCCCGTTACGACAGCAAAACGGTAAGAGCACTTGCTCATTGTCCCGCATTGTCTCTCCCGTTACTAGAAACAGTTGGTAAGATCACTCTGTCAATCACCTCCTTGTTCAACCCTCCCAGACCCAACACTCCCCTCCCTCCACCCCATCCCCTTCCTACCCTCCCTCCACACCCCTTCCCTCCACACCTCTTCCCTCCACACCCCTTCCCTCCACACCCCTTCCCTCCACACCCCTTCCCTTCACACCCCTTCCCTCCACTCCCCTTCTCACTTCCTCCCCCTCCGTGTCCCTCCCCTTCGAATCCACCAGGGGGACAACATTGACCTGAATGGGATCGCCAGCAGCGACATCAAGGTAACACAGCAGTCTGTATGGTTACAATGGACGTGTGTACGTATATTTTATATATGCCGAATGTATATATATTTTATGTATGTAAGTGAACAAACTTCCGTTGATTTGGAGGGGATATCCATTAGCAACATCAAGGTATCTGTGCACATATACATTGCGGGGTCAGTGTCGATATAGGTGGGATAGCTGACAGCAGCATTGGCCCTCATTCCTCAACCCTCTTCCCTCCACCCTCTTCCCCCCTGCTATTCGTGTTACATCCCTCTCACTAATCAACTTCCCCCCTCCGCTCCCCACCGTGTACTCGCTGTCTGTCTCCAGGTCAACCCCGGCTTTCACAATTGGAACTTTGTTATCTTCAAATACTGCGATGGCGCCGCTTTTGCTGGTAACCGCGGGGTCGTACGGCCGCGTAACGTCAACAGCAACAAGCCCCCAGTCTACATGGAGGGGCGGTGGAACCTTCTGGGGATAATCGAGGCGCTTCTAGCGAAGCACCGCCTGGGGCAGGCTACAGACGTGCTGCTGACGGGCTGTAGCGCGGGCGGGCAGGGAGTGAGCATGGCGTGCGATGGCGTGGCCAAGTGGATGGCTCAGTTTGGAGCCAAGACCCGATGCCTCATGGACGCCGGATTCTTCATGGGTGAGTGCGAAAGGGGGTGTTACACTAGGGTACAGTATGTGGTAACTGGTGAGTCTCAGTTGGGGGCGAAGCGGGGGGGGGAGGAACAAGGGGGGCACGTGGGGGGGGACAGGGCGGGCAAGGGGTGAGCATGGCGTGCGATGGCGTGGCGAAGTGGATGGCTCAGTTTGGAGCCAAGACTCAAGACTCGATGCCTCATGGACGCTGGGTTCTTCCTGGGTGAGTTGTCCGGTGATAGGGTGTTGCATCAGGAAACACTAGTAGGCGGTAACAGCTGGCTTGTGATGGTTGGGGGAGGGAGGGAGTGAGCATGGCGTGTGATGGGGTGGCGAAATGGATGGCTCAGTTTGGAGCCAAGACTCTATGTCTCATGGACGCTGGCTCTTCATGGGTAAGCTAGCTAGCCCTACACACATAGGCACTGGCTGGGTCAGGAGGGTCAAAGAGGGTCAAAATGGTCAAAAGGGGTCAAAATGGGACGGCTACAGACGTGTGCTGCTGAAGGGCTGTAGCGCAGGTTACGGTGTGGAGGTGTCATATCACATCACCTTAGCCAACAGCCTTTCCATCTTACCCTTCCCCCCCCCTCCCCCCCACAACACTCCACACATCCCCACGATTCGGTACATGTACGCCTTTTCCGTCCCTAAGCTCCCTCACTTCATTCCCCCCATCACCTTCCACTTCATTCCCCCCATCACCTTCCCCTTCATTCCCCCCATCACCTTCCCCTTCATTCCCCCCATCACCTTCCCCTTCATTCCCCCCATCACCTTCCCCTTCATTCCCCCATCACCTTCCCCTTCATTCCCCCCATCACCTTCCCCTTCATTCCCCCCATCACCTTCCCCTTCAGTCCCCCCCATCACCTTCCCCTTCATTCCCCCCATCACCTTCCCCTTCAGTCCCCCCCATCACCTTCCCCTTCATTCCCCCCATCACCTTCCCATCACCTTCCCATCACCTCCCCCATCTTCCCCCCCACGACATCCCCACGATCCGGGGCACGTACGCCTTTTGTGCCCTTCAATTCTCCCCCTTCATCCCCCCCATCACCTTCCCCATCACCTCCCCCATCTTACCCCCCCAACACTCCACACATCCCCAGGATCCGGGGCACTTCCCCCTTTAATGCCCTTCAAGACTCCCCCTTCATCCCCCCATCACCTTCCCCATGTTAAACCCCCCCCCCCCCCCCCAACACTCCAGACATCCCCCCTCCACGATCCAGGGCACGTATGCCTTTTGTGTCCTTCAGCCCTTTATTCCCCCCCATCACCTTTCCCATCACCTTCCCCCCAACACTCCAGACATCCCCACAATTCGGGGGGCGTACGTCTTTCGGCGTCGTATGGACCAACTTGCATCCACAGGGGGGCTTGCGAGGGGCAGCTACGACCAGGAGTGCGCTGCTGGTGAGGGAGTGTGACTGTATGAGGATGACTGAATGCGTATGACTATGAGTGTGACGATATGTGAGCGTAAGGATGGACCCGCTTGCATCCATGTGTGTGTTGGGGGGGGGGAGAGGGGGGGGCTTGCGAGGGGCAGCTACGATCAGGAGTGTGGTGTGTGTGACTATATGAGCGTGACTGTATGAGTGTCTGTATGAGTGTGTCTGTATGAGTGTGACTGTATGAGTGTGACTGTATGAGGATGGCTACCACGAGCGTGAAGGGGGGTGGCTGTGACAATTTTCATTCCGCAATCCTCCCTCTCGTTCCCCTCGTCTTTTCCTGTGCCCCTGTACAGCCTTCAGAGGATCTAGGCAGCAGTGGAAATGTACCTTCCCCGAATACAACCTACACTTCGTCAGCACACCTACATTCATCCTCAATAGTAACATCGACTATAAGGCCATCTCGATGACTCTTATCGGGACGAGTCGACCCAGCACGCACCCGCTTATGGACTGCTATTATTCTTCGGGATTATCGGAGTGTACTTCGCAACAACGAGGCGTTATTGGTGGTTACGCAACCCGAGTTATGGGTACAGTGCAAGAAGTGGTGCGGAGTGCGCAGCGCAGGGGTGCCGCATTTACTTCGTTTATTTATCAAACAAAATCACATTGTATGGTGGGAGATCCTACATGGCAGAGTGTAGTTTCGCCCCAGTGGCCTGGGAAGAACCTGCCTTGGGCTATTAGCGAGTGGTACTATGGTGCAGCTGTTGCGGCTAAATTGCACAGGCGGGTGTAGTATACAGGTAGTTAGTTGGTGGAGTGTTTTGTACACTAGTGTCCATGTCTGGTTAAATTTGATTTTATTGCATTGGCCATTGGATGCTTTGGTCTACTTATTACTGTCACTTTGAATCAGCACAAGTGGTACTGTATGTATACAAAAAGCTAAGAAGAGAGGAGGGGAAAGGAAAATCGCTGGAACCTAGCTGCCCATCAAGACAAGAGCTTCTATTGAAAGGCAACCATGAGTTATTAGAGTAGACACTCAGTGAAGAACAGCTACATCAGAAATTAGTACAGATGTGACGCTGTTTCCCGGCGCCACCACAAGGAAAGGTGAAGGCACCACCTCATAGTTAGCTGACGAGACAAGGCTCCCTGTCTCGTTATAAGACGTCCTGTACACCTCAACAGTAGCCGGGATAGCCAAGTCGTACACTTGAAATGTGGATATAGAAAGCGATATGTTGTACTCCGCAGCATCTTGATTCACGATGAATACTGACAGAAGATGCCGCCTCGGATGGAAAAAAGCGGCTATGCTATGATGACACCCATTGGCCGCCTCGATGTTGAGCGGCAAACTCCCCTTAGGAGCACCCTGAATGAACTGCTGCAACATGTAGTATTTTCTTGAGAGTGTAACGCGTAACGGTGGGGCGGTGGAGTTGTTGATTCGGTTATAAGGGATGGTGAATAGCCCCCAATTGAGGGCGGATGGGTCGGCTTCCGACTCCTTGTTAATTGCTTGCCAAAACACCCATGCGGATGCTCCCAGTATGTTTACCGACTGTATAATGCACCGTGCAATGAATGCGGTTACCGCCATGTCGTCACCCGTTACAAAAAGAGGACCCATCTCAGACACCCACACCTCCTTCCCCAAAGCCTCGGCCCTTTTGCGCAAAGGACCGAACTTCCCTTCAATATAAGCACGTGCATCTGTGCTGTTTTTCGGAGGAGGGACATACCCGTGCACATTGATACGTGATAATGCGGATTTCACCACAGGTGAAAATTCCTCCCAGTTTTGAAGCGTACGTCCCGCAAAACTGTCGAAACCAGCAACTCCGGTTCGGTCCAGTATCCGTCTCGTTTTAAGCGTCCCCACAACATGCGCTACAAGCATGTTGAGTTCCGTAGCGTTGAAGTTACACCCCTCCTGCCGGTTACCGCGAACCCACCACCCTTCCATCGCCTCATTGGCCGGATTCAGAGTTGAAAACGTCACATTCCACTGCTCCCGAAAATGCGCGACCACATCCGCTAAATACCCAGCATACGCTAAGTAATACCCTTTTTTTAGATTAGTCTTACCGACACTTAGCCCTGCGGTGTCCCCGCTAACAGTCATCCACCAGGGGGGGGAGTAAGCCACCGCTTCCACCTCGTCCACCCCCCGCACGATCGCTCCAGCCAATACCCTCCTTTGCCGCGAATCCGCCGACCAATCGTACGGCCCGGATGCGGTAACCCTGTAACCAGGGATGGCCATGGCTTCGCAGGCTTCGGTGAGAAACTGGGGGCTGAGGAGGGGGTTGAAGCTGCCCCCGATGAGGTACCGGGCGAGGTTGAGCCCAAGGCCCTTGGAGGGGTGGAAGAGCAGGTCCAGCAGGTGGGTGAGCTGGTCTGGGGGGAGCTTGCCTATGTAGTTGGCAAACCTGGTAGATTGGAGGGTATGTTGGGGGGATGGAAGGGTGGAGGAGGGAAGGCGGGTGAGCTGGTCTGCTGAGAGCTTGCCAATGCAGATGGAAAACCTGGTGGATTGGGATCAGGGGGATATGTGGGTGAAGCACGAAGCTATGAGGGAAGGAGTGGAAGAGAAAGGTTGAGTCCAAGGCCCTTGAAGGGGCGGCAGAGGAGGCTGAGCAGGTGGGTGAGCTGGTCTGCTGGGTCGGAGCTTGCTGTTGTAGTTGGCGGAACTGGGGTAGGGAGTATGTGAGGGAGACGCACCCCGCCCATCCTCTCCACGTCTGCCCCATATGCCTCCAGTACCCTCGGCCATCCCCCACAACGCCACGTGGCCCATGCTCGCTTCCTCACCATCCCAAAGAAATGACCCATCCCCCATACTCACCATCCCAGAGAGGTGCCCCATCCTCTCCACGTCTGCCCCATGCGGGTAGGGGAGATGCGCACTCGAGCATGGCCTGGCAATAGGAACAGATGCGGAGGAGTGCAATGGGGTGGGATGGGGTTGAAGAAGGACACATCCTAGAGAGGAGCCACATCCTCTCCTCGTCTGGCCCATACGGGTTGGGGAGATGCGCACTCGAGCATGGCCTGGCAATAGGAACAGATGCGGAGGAGTGCAATGGGGTGGGATGGGGTTGAAGAAGGACACATCCTAGAGAGGAGCCACATCCTCTCCACGTCTGGCCCATACGGGTTGGGGAGATGCGCACTCGAGCATGGCCTGGCAATAGGAACAGATGCGGAGGAGTGCAATGGGGTGGGATGGGGTTGAAGAAGGACACATCCTAGAGAGGAGCCACATCCTCTCCTCGTCTGGCCCATACGGGTTGGGGAGATGCGCACTCGAGCATGGCCTGGCAATAGGAACAGATGCGGAGGAGTGAAATGGGGTGGGATGGGGTTGAAGAAGGACACATCCTAGAGAGGAGCCACATCCTCTCCACGTCTGGCCCATACGGGTTGGGGAGATGCGCACTCGAGCATGGCCTGGGATGGGACACAGAACGGAACAGGAAGGGGTGGGATGGGGTGGGGGTGGGGTGGGGTGGGGTGCAGTGCGGTCTGGTGGGATGGGGTTGAAGAACACATTTCACTGGCATTCCATTCTCTCCACGTCCGCCTCATGCGGGTAGGGGAGATGCGCACTCGAGCACGACCTGGCCGTAAGTGCAGATAGGGAGGGGTGCAATGCGTTGAGATGGGTTGCAGTGCGATGCAGTGGGATGCAGAGGGGGGGGATGCGTTTGATGGGTTGAAAGTGAGTCAGAAAAAGAAAGAAACGGAGTGGGATGCGGTGAGATGCGGTGGAGATGCAGCGCTTGAGACAAGCCTTTAGGGGGGGGGTAATTCGAAATGAGTATTGTAATTCTACATGTAACTCCAGAACAAATCTTGGAAGGGGAAATCTCGAGGTCTCACCTTGTGGGGTGCAGACTGTGAGAATTTCCGTCTCTGGGAGAAGCCCGCCATGATCGGCATTGACCTCTTCCGTACTCCCATGCCTGGATCTCCCGCCTGGCCTTTCCACCTCTCCAACGCCAATGCCGCCAACACCAGCCGACGCCATATCCGGACGAAGCATGCCGTTGCCGACATTCATCTCCTCTGTACCGCCATGTCTTGATCTCCCGCCTGGCTCTTCCACCTCTCCAACTCCAAAGCTGCCACCACCAGCCATCTCCAGACGAAGCCTGCCGTAGTCGTCATTGACCTCCTCTGTACTGCCATGTATTGATCTCCTGTCTGACTTTCCCACCTCTCTAATGCCATTGACAAAGCCGTCAACACCAGCCATGTCAGGAACCTTCCTTCCCCACCCTCCTCCCTCTCCCCGGCTGTCTTCGCCTGGCCTCCCCTCACCTCCCCACCTCGTTAAAGACTCTGCCAGATTTCCACCTATGGTGCCATCCGTTGCTGCTGAAATCTCCTGGATTTTCTCCTGAATCTTGACTTCTTGTTCACGCTCCTTGGAAATGTCGGACGCGAAACCTGCTCGAGGCGTGAAGAAGATTTGATTCTGATTTTTGTCCACATCGTCCCTGAATTCACGGAGGTCGTAGCTGGCAGCGTCGCACACGCAGAGCGGGCGAAGACGTGCGACAGTGAGGGCTAGAAGCAGGATAAGGATAGTCGCTCGGCGATTCCGTGCGACAGACGGAGAAGCTTGACGACTAGAGCGACGGCGGTGAAACCACCATTCTGAGTGCCAGGGAAAAGAAACGTTCGCATCCATCACTGTAGACCAGAAATGCGATAGAGTCGGCTCAAAAGCTCACTGTAGACCAGAATTGTGGAAACTAGTAGAGCAGCAAGCAGAGAACTCAGTCTGAGCTCCCTTACTAGAGCTGGAATCCACTAGCTTGCTTTCTTTCTTTCTTGCTCCCCTCCTGCTTTTCTCCTTCCTCTCGGATTGGATTTTTCTCCCAGCGGCACTACTGCCAATTCCCACTGGCTGCGTTCTGCAGGCAAAAAAGGCAAGTGCAGATTACATCAGAGCACCTATCGAAAACGCGAGATTTTGCTTCGGATCGAGGGTCAGCCCGCAATTATTTCCCCAAACCTGACCCCTGCAGCACTGTATTCCCCACCGAAGTTGCCGAGCCAATGGTTTTGGCAGGGATTGATGGATTGAAGACCTATTCCTGGCATCCTTGGGGCGCAATTCTGTAGGCACGATAACGAGTGTGAGCGAATCTCGTGGCTGTCAGGTGAAGATGACAATCCCGAACGATAGCTGCTCGTTTGCAGCTGCTCTTTTTGACAATCTCCTGGATTTTGCTCCTGCATCTTGATTTCAAGAGCTGTTTGTTCCGCGATCGCAGAAATACGACCTACGTTCAACAAATCCTCGATACTGCAAACCTGGGAGACTCCCATCTTCAGTGTGTACGGATTATAGATCACATCATTTACAACCACCATTTCCCAAAACCAGTTTTCCATGTGCTTTCTACTTGCACACCAAGTGGCCAACTTACAAGTTTCCTGTTGATCAGTAATGAATACAATATAAGTTACAATCAGCATTAGTACATTACATTAGGTGCTACGGCAATGTCCACCAGCGTTTTATAGCCATAGCTAGGGTCATCCCATTCCGCCCCACCCGTTTATTCCAATCCGGATATGCGGCCATGCAATGTACATCATCCGTCACAATAAAAGCAGACTTGCTCCTATGAGCTGCTTTAGCCGATGCAACCACGACGTTTATCGCTGTACGTAGCGTATGCCGATATTGCTCCAAGGCATGTAGCACAGGAGCGGAGCAGACACTATTGAGCCCGGGAGTCATGCACCTGTCGAGTGTATTCTTGTCTGGGAGTCGAGGCGGGGAGAATGAAATACCCGCTCCAACTTTATCATAAGTGCTTTGCACAATGAACATGGGTGTCGATACATATTGGAGGTTGTACTGTGGGAAGAAGCAGCGCCACAACTCCTTGCTTCCCCAGAAAGCTGTTTACAGGAGCACAGGAATCAGAAGAGAACGGGAAAACGAGAGGGAGGTGGAAAGGAACAGTATTCTGCTGAAGGGGCGTATGGTATGTGGAGATCAAGGGAAGCAGGGAAGGCAAAATGTCTAAAACGTACCGGTGCTACAGTCGTCGTCAGCAACAGCAGTCGTGGAGTGGAATTGAAACGTAAAGCTAGTATACTCACCAGTCTAGAGCAAGTTACTTACCGGTGCGACAGTCATCGTCTGCAGCAGCAGTCATGGAGTGGAATCGGAACATGCGCTGCACAATGCCCCTAAAGCTCCACTGCTTGCTGATGTCTGGGGTGTCTGGGGGCGTGGGTGGGGGAGGGGAGGGGGTAGAAAGAAGGGAGGAAAGAGGGGATGCTCAAATCACCACCATCATCAGCAGCAGCAGCCATGTGCAGAAGCCAACACTCCCATACCCATAACCATACGCGTTTTCGCCATGTGCAGAAGCCAACACTCCCATAGCCATAACCATGCACATGTAATGACTGTAGGCATGCACACATACCCAGAAGCATCCATGCATACATACCCATGAAGAAGCCAGCGTCCATGAGGCATTTGACTTTGGCCGTGCGAGGGAAGTGGAACTGCGCCATGGCATCGCATGCCATGGACACCGCTATAGCGCCAGCGGAGCAGCCTGTAAGGAGTACAGAATCCGCCTGCTTCATACCCTTGGAGTTGAGATCTGAAACAGAAAACGATATAGGGTGGAGGGAGGAAGGGGGGAGAGGAGGGGCAACGGGAGAACCAGCAGAGCAGCTTGTAAGGGGGACAGAATTCGCCTGCTTCAACATATCCTTGGAGTTGAGATCTGGAGGGGATATATACATGGGGAGAAGCGGAGGGAATAGAAAGAAGAGTACAGCTCAGTATCGGAAGGCATGCCACGGAGATTGCTTAAGCGCTGGCGGAGCAGCCTGTAAGGAGGACAGAACCCGCCTGCTTCATACGCTTGGAGTTGCCATCTGGGAGGTACGATAGAGATGGGGGGGAGGGGGGGAGGGGGGAGGGGGGAGGGGGAAGCGGGGAGGCGATGGGCTAAGTGGTATGTGTGCTGTAATGAGCCTGTTATATTGGTTAGTGTGGTGGTCTGGTGTGTGGTATGTTCTATGTTGTATAAGCTCAGATGGTGAGTTGAATTGGTTTTGAGAATTCTCAAAAACCAATTCAACTTTTATTGGAAGGCGGTGTGGTGTGGTGAGTGGTATGCTCTATGTTGTATAAACTCAGATGGTGAGTTAACAGCAACTGTGAAATGGTATGGCTACCAGACCAGATGGTGTGGTATGGTGTGGTGTGGTGTGGTGTGGTGTGGTGGTTTTGTGTGCGGTATGCTCTATTGTATGAGCTCAGATGGTGAGTTGACAGCAACTGTCAAATGGTATGGTTTCTAGCCCAGATTCCAGAAACGTGGCAGACATAAAGCAGCCTCTGTTTCCGGCAGTGTACATTGCAGGACCAGGGAAATGTACATTGTGTTAAAGCCCGAGTCCCAAGTTGCAAGGCCAAGCAAGTCTCAGAGACTTGCTTGGTGGTAGGTGAGAGTTGGGGATGTTTTGATTGGTGCACGAAAAACCACCCTCCAATCACAAATCGCAAAAAACTCACCTACCTACTTTCAACCCTCTGAGACTTGAAAGCCCCTGCATCTTGGGACTTGGGCTTTAAAACCCGCGGCCAAAATTGGAACGTGATGTACATTGCGGCCTCCGTGGCGTACATGGATTAACGCACCTCCCAATACTGCGTTCAATATCGGTCGACCAGAGAGGTAGTACGGGTCCGTGTGGTCGTAAAATGCTTTCCCTTTCACGCCAGCGAACACGCCCCCGTCGCAGTACAGCACAACCACAGTGTTCCACGAGTAGAATAGCGGATTTTCGGTAGAGTCGCCGCTCAGCATCCCCTGGAACCCAGCTCCCATATTAGCAATCTGATTGGGGGAGGGAGGGAGACTCAACGTTTTAGGGTTGTACAGTACAGTGCAGCACAGTACAGTACAGCACGTGCACCCCGTCGCAGTACAGCACAACCACAGTGTTCCACGAGTAGAATAGCGGATTTTCGGTAGAGTCGCCGCTCAGCATCCCCTGGAACCCAGCTCCCATATTAGCAATCTGATTGGGGGAGGGAGGGAGACTCAACGTTTTAGGGTTGTACAGTACAGTGCAGCACAGTACAGTACAGCACGTGCACCCCGTCGCAGTACAGCACAACCACAGTGTTCCACGAGTAGAATAGCGGATTTTCGGTAGAGTCACCGCTCAGCATGCCCTGGAACCCCGCTCCCATATTAGCAATCTGATTGGGGGCAACTACAGTGTTCCATGAGTAAAACAGAACAGCGGATATTCCTTTGATTCTCTGCTCAGCATGCCCCAGAACCCATTCCCGTATAAGCAATCAGATCGGGGGAACTTGAGGGGTAAAGGATGGTACATAAGACTGAATAAAGTTTCTATTGATGTGTATGCAATAGGTTAAGACATGCGCATATTCCAACAGTAAAACGACAGCACTCACTGTGTTTTCAAAGCCCGGATCCCCCAGCTTGGGCCAGCACTTGGTTGACCCCAGCTCTAGTTGCAAAAAGAGTCACATTCCAAGAGCAGACACACCTTCACGCTGTTTTCAAATCCCGGATCCGGAGCTGCGGTCACATCCCAAGAGCAGAAAGACAGCAGCGCTCACTGTATTTTCGAAGCCCGGGCCAGTACTCCAAGAGCCTCTTCTTGGTTGACGTCGAGTTGAGAAGAGGCCCGCATTCCAGGAGCAGACACACACTCACGCCGTTTTCAAATCCCAGATCCCCTGGTTTGGCCCAGGGCTTAGCCCACCCCAGCTCTGGTTGAGAAGAGGTTTTGCATAATCCAGCAACAAACGATGAGCACTAACTGTATTTTTTAAGCCCGGATCCCCCAGCTTGGGCTAGCACTTGGTTCACCCCAGCTCTGATTGAGAAGAGATTTGCATCCCAAGAGCAGAAAGACAGCAGCACTCACTGTATTTTCGAAGCCCGGATCCCCCGGTTTGGGCCAGTACTTGGTTGACCCCAGCTCTGAATCCGCTCTCAGGCGGCACTGGCTGGGGGACAGACACCAGCGACCGCCCTACAGGGAAGGGAGAGAGCGGGAGGGATGGGAGGGAAGGGGAGGAAGGGTTTGACGACTGTACGTGCCACGCCAGTACTTGGTTGACCCCTGCTCTGAATCCGCTCTCAGGCGGCACTGGCTGGGGGACAGACACCAGCGACCGGCCTGGGAGTTGGAGAAGGGGGCAGGGGTGAAGGGGAGTAGGGGAAGGGAGGAGCGTTGGGATGGGTGGGTGTCGGCACTGGCTGGGGGAGCTCGTGTCTGTTCTGGGTGTCTTTCTGCAGGTGGCTACAGAGAGGGGTGAGCCCGGATCCCCCGGTTTGGGCCAGTACTTGGTTGACCCCAGCTCTGAATCCGCTCTCAGGCGGCACTGGCTGGGGGACAGACACCAGCGACCGCCCTACAGGGAAGGGAGAGAGCGGGAGGGATGGGAGGGAAGGGGAGGAAGGGTTTGACGACTGTACGTGCCACGCCAGTACTTGGTTGACCCCTGCTCTGAATCCGCTCTCAGGCGGCACTGGCTGGGGGACAGACACCAGCGACCGGCCTGGGAGTTGGAGAAGGGGGCAGGGGTGAAGGGGAGTAGGGGAAGGGAGGAGCGTTGGGATGGGTGGGTGTCGGCACTGGCTGGGGGAGCTCGTGTCTGTTCTGGGTGTCTTTCTGCAGGTGGCTACAGAGAGGGGTGAGCTCGTGTCAGCGCGCTCATGCGGCTTTTGGGTGCTGCCTGTGTACTGGCAGGTCTCACCCGCCCAGACTGTCCCCCACTCAAAAGCGCGCTCAAGCGGCAG